AGAGTCAATGACAAATACAATCTGTGATGGCCCTTGGGAAGCTGTTAAGGAACATGGAGTCCTGTTCTGTCTCTGCTAGCTTTTTAGTTTTAATGAGGAGGGTGGAAATCTTAGTGAATTTCTGCTGGTATTCTCTGAGGTCATCCTGGTTTCGCATGGGCTTGGACTGATATTCTTTGATGAGGTACTGCAAGTCTGCATGACAGTAGTGGTCATCACCTTCACAGCCAGGGTACAAGCCCTTAACAGCAACTACAAAGGCATCCCAGTCATTGGCCACAGGTGTGGCTTCCAGAAGTGTTTGCCAGACCTCAGCTTCTTCAAGGTCAGCATAGCAGATTGCAGCTCTGATCTTGCCATGGTCATTGAGAGCAGCAAGAGTACTGAGGAAGTCAATGTCCTCAAGGTATCATGGGAGCTGTGCAGGTGAATCTCCACTAAATTTAGGTGAATTCTGTGCACTGCAGAGTGGCATCTGAAACTGAGAATTAGCCATTGGCAGGTTAACCTGTGGTGGTGGTGCCAGATTGGTAACAGGTGGAATGGGTATTGGTTGCAGATGTGGAGCAGTTGGTATAGTGTGCAAGTGGACTGGCAGAAGTGTTGGTGGGTTACTAATTGGCTGATGGGTGGTCTGCAGCCAAGTGAGTGGTTGTGGCAGTGTGGTGGATGGAACTAAGAGTCTGGGTCTAGATTTGGAGGTGTCAAAGAGACAGGAAAAAGAGGGCATCAGTGATGATGAATCAGATGATGTGACAGGTGTTTAAGGTGATGGCAGGGTTTCAGGTCTTTGGGGAGTCAAGTGGATAAAGCCACTGGGAAAATCAGGGGCAGTGAGATCTGGGTGACCCAGTGCAATAGATATCCAATCTGCCAAAATATCAGGAGGAGTGATTGTGGGTAGTACCCATGGAATGTCAGTGGGTGATTGCACATGATCCAGTGTTATGGGTGGAACAGGGCAGAAGAGGTCAGAGTCTTCTGACAGGTTGAGGTTGCAAAAGTGCAGGCATAAATTTTCTAGTTCAGTGCATTTGGTGGTGCACCTGAGCATCCTTCTGGAAGCGACAGCAGAATCCCTTGTGGTGGGCTCCAGTTGTAGGAAAAGTCCAAGTAGCTGTATAATATGATCTAGATGGCTTAGATAACAACAATAAAAATGAAGGGAACAAATTGCTCATCCCAAGGGATTCTGGACTGTTGAAACTAGAAGGTGAGGCTCAGTGCTTTGTAGCAGTAGTGATTTGTGGCATGCATGGTGTGGTCCACAGAGTGGTACTGGTGATGTAAGTGGTATGAGCAGTATACATAGTTTGTGTGCAGCAGTATGTGAGACATGTGGTGTAGACAAAGTGAAAAAGAAACTTGTAATGACCTTCCAAGTGCCAAAAGGTATCCTTCTGTACCTAAGTACAGGATTTTATAGTCCAGGCAAACCTGGAACCTAAGTAAGACAGAGTATGAGTAAGTGAAAACTGCACAACAGCACATACACACAAGACAGGCTGAACAGGGGCTGAGGGTATACTACTAGTGTAAAAGGAAAGTGACTGTGGCAAAAAGAAAAGAGTCCAAGGAAAGGATGAGACCAGAGCACAGTGGCCATGGGTATAGCATTGTGTGACAGGGGGTGAGGGCATGGGAAGGTAGTGAGGTAGGTGGGAAGACAGCATGTGAACAGCAGTGGATGTGAGTGGTCTGGGGACATATTGACAGTCACAGAATGGTTGATGATAGGGGCTCACATGTCCAAGGAATGTGGAGTCCTTACACCATCCATAGTAAGATGTACCCGTTGCAACATAAAGATGGGCCCTTCAATATATATCATTTACAGGGTGACAACACATGGACAGGCCCATCTAGTAAGATGCACCCATGTCACAACATAGAGACAGGCCAGTCAGTATTATCAATTACATTGTCACAACAGATGGATGGGCCCATCTAGTAAGATATGCCCCTGTCCCAACATAAGGATGGGCCTGTCAGTAATATCAATTACATGGTCGCAACACATGGACAGGCCCATCAATAGCAACATGTATGCCTGTAACAACATAGAGATGGGCCCATCAGTAATATCATTTACAGTGTCACAACACATAGACAGGCCTGTCTAGTAAGATGTACCCCTGTCACAACATAAAGATGGGCCCATCAGTACTATCATTTATAGTGTCACAACACATGGAAGGGCCCTTCAGCAGTATCATTTATGTGGTCACAGCATAAGGACAGGCCCTTCAGCAGTATTATTTATATTGTCATAATGTATGGATGGGCCCTTCAGTAATATCTTTTATATTGCCATAAAACAAGGACAGGTCCATCTAGTAAGATCCACCCCTGTCACAACATAAGACAGGCCCAACACTAATAGCATGTATAGCATCACAACATGCTGTAATTTTCCAACCAGCTGCAAGCATCTCACCCACTATACAACTCTGACCTCATCCACCACAAGCATGAATACTACAAAAGACATGTCTAAAACCCCCCATGGATGGTGAATGGAACTAACAGACTGCATTGTGTCATACATGAAAGCCAGATTTCAAAAGGACATACTCAGCAGACCTTGCACCCTTCCAGATATATCAATTCCATTTCCAGTGTTATGTGAAGCAGATTGCATATCATCAGTAATCTCACAGGCCTATTGTCACCCAACCAAGTCCATCATAATGGTGCGATGGAAGTTTTCATCTTTCTGCAGTCAACATCAGGAAAAATCAGGGTGGAAAAACCTGCAATGCAGAAGCTGCTGAGAGATATGCAGAAGTGACTGAGCCATCCATTCTGGTGACTGACTCAAACACCATCCACATATGGTATTTGCTGGATGCTCTCAGCCCAAAAAGAAGGGTAAGGAAATGCAGAATCTCATATTCTACTGACTTAATGGAATGGCAGGCTGACATATGGAACCACCTTCATCTTCTGAGGGAACCACTGTGGGAGAGCATAAAGGCTTCCCCACAGGCATGGTGGATGGACAAGTCATATTTCTGTGATAATGCTGAGCTGAAAGGCACCATCAACCTGTCACCCACATGGTTTCAACAGGGTCATGGGGTGGGTGATCATTTCTCACCTTGTGAATAAAGCACTCATCCATCTTGAAGTGCCAAAATGGCTTCCCAGAAGCCTCACAGCTGCTCAAATCCAGGACAGACAACACTTCTACAAGGGAATGGGTTGACCAAATGTCTGACACCAATGCCCTGTTATCTGCAATCCTGCATGTCATCCATCTGCAAATGTATGCAGATGGCAGGGAAGCATTGATCCACCTTGGCAAACAGGTGGAACAGCAGGTAGATTCAGATATGAGCTCCATAGTGCTGATATGGAGCTCCATGTATAGCAGCATGTCCATAATGGTGAATCACGCAACTTGTTACCACAGGGATATCAATGGACAGGATCCATGGTATGACATGCTGGTAACCATGGGTGACTACCTACCCTTGGACTTTGTCATTCCAATGTTGAATCTGCAGCTATGCTACAACCCAGGGACAATCATTGCATTTTCAGGTTCAGCATTGGAGCATGGGGTGAGAGCTGTAGATGGTGACAGAGCATGCCTGGCATACTACATGCATGCCAATGTACATCAGTCAGTGCATGTTCCCATGTGTCAATCACCATGGATGGATGACCTACTACCTAGACCAGTTGCAACTGGAGAACTATTGATTTGAAGCTGCAAAATTTAATGTAAGATTTAGTGGGCAATGCAGTGTGGGACACTACCTCTGGGTAGCATGTGATTAGGGGGAAAGCTGTAGGGCAATCCCTAGGCTTGACCCAAGGGGTGCTGAGTAGGAAGGAGACATAGAATATGGTGGTAGGGTTGATTGAGGAGTTGAATATGGGGCACGGAATTTAATTCCACAGAGATGTAGGTGAATTGGGAATGAGTAGACTTGTATACAAAATTCTGAGTTACAACCTTGGCATGAAGAAGTAATTCCAAGACTTGTGAGACACAGAGGTGAGACACAGAAACACAGAAGACACAGTAGATGCAGAGTATGCAGCAGACACTTTGCACACTTAGGCACATGAATGACTTGGGTAGTGACTCCAAAAGATGGGTGGGTACATTTCCAACATCATGGTGGAATTATATAGTACAAGGGAAGTAGGTACAAGTTGGAGTAAGGTGGGGCAGAAAAACCAAAAGACCAGAAAATAAAGGAAAGGACATCAGACATCAGTGAAGTACAGATGCATGTGAAATAGTCCAGTGGGTAGTAGACAAGAGTAAGAACAGAACAATGGTAAGGGGTATCTTCCAACAGCACAAGAGTATGCATACAAGTGGGAGGTGGAGCTGAGTGGCACAGGAGGGCAGAGTGTAGCATACTGGCATGAAGTCCAGCTTGCAGAATTTAGGGCAACAGGGGAAACTGGAGTTTATTAGAGGTAAGTGGCATGGATGACTGGTGATGTGGCTGAGTGGTGGCATGGCTGCTGAATTCCAGGTGACTCTGCATAAATGTGGAATTTCTGGATCAGTGTTTTGATGACTGAGCAACATGCTGAAGGGTGGTAGAAACTCCAAAGGTGACAGGGGTCAGGAGGAAACACAAGAAAATTCCAAAATGGGTTTGTTGTAGAGGCCTGCAGAATTTAGTGACACATTCCTGTTCCAGCCTCAGGGAGTATACAGCTCCCTATGGTGGATCTCATATTTTATTAGGATATGCTGGCTCTTGAACTTCAGACAGGTGGTGTTGCCAAGATTTTGCAAATGGGTGGGTGCTTAGACATCATAGATTGGGCAGGTACTCAGAGCTAAAGGGTGTGCATCATAAACTGCAACAAAAGTAAACCTACTCAGGCCATCATGCAGATGGGCAGATTGTCAGACATCATGCAGATGGGTGGGGGTTCAGACATCATGTGAATGGGCAGTATCTCATAAATGATCAACATTCACAGCAATGTATATACAACCAACTCCACAGTCAAAAACATGTAAACTATTGAAGTGGCATGCCCAACAACCCATGCAATGCCCACCACCTAGTGTAGAAATGGTCGATTTGTTGACCCCAACCATTAACAGCATCAGCATATTTCTGAATATTTTCAAAGCAGTAGTTTTCCTGCTCTTTGATATGGCTATTGAGACAGTCTGCAATTGGCACCTCAGGCAATGGCCATAAGCCCTGGGCCATCATCAACTATTTGCAGTGACAAGAATAAGCAGCATACCTTACAAAAATCCCAGGCCATGGAAAACAATCCCTTGCCTTGCAATCTTTGGGAATCCACTGCATATTCCTCAGAACAATATAGCCACCAAGGGAATGCAAAGCTGGAATTGGGATCAGCTGCATGTGGGGTCCAATGTGGGACAATGGCACTGATATTGTTGATTATGCAAAATGCACTAAGGGGAATTAGCTGCATTTGATCATGGAAGCTAACCTCATCATCTTGGTGTCTGAGGTACACATGGTAGCACAGGAGTATAACTGGCATGCAACACTGTCACCAGAATCAAGCTATTAAGCTGATTCTGAAGGAATTATGTATCAGTCCCACATTATGAAAAATTGATGTAAAACCTACCAAGTCCATTGCTAGGTTTGCAAACCAATGCACAGGCCATCCCACAATATTGGCAGTCTGCTTCAGATGTACAGAGGAGACCTTGATCTGGCATGCCAAGTAGAGGATACCCCATCTCTACCACAGACTGGTGAGATGGGTGTGATTGGCTGGCGATGAATGACTCAGGACAATTTTCAAAGGTGGAACACAGATAACAAACAACTTCCATCAAATCAAGCATATTGATGAGTTGAGGGCCCTGAGAGGCTGCACCATACTGGTCCCTTGCAGCTGTGCCCAATTCTCTCCCAATGGCATTTGCAGCCTGCACAAGATGCCTATCAAGGGTGGGATCAAATGGCATGTTGCTGGGAGTGGTGTTTCCACAGTAGTGAGATACTGCATGTAAGGTGCACAGGACTAAAATTATCAATGTCAACAGTGTATCAGATTAAGCTCATGCCCATACCTTGATTGCAACATGGAACAGGTGCCAATCCCCATTGTTCCATCTGAACAGATTGCTGTGTGGATGGAAGTTCACCTACATAATCAATGGATATCACCAATCACATGAATAGAACCAAATAAATGCTCACCATTGCATATTTCTTTGAAAAGATCCCTCATCTCTGATTGTTTGGGCATGCCAAAAGTCAAATGGTTTGTGCCATTGCCCTCATCCACTGCCAAGTCAAAAGATTCAACAGGTACATTTGAAATGAGTGGGGGAGGCATTGGTTCCCTCATATCCTGCAATTTAGCAAGCAGGTTAGTTGGAGAATTGGGTTGAGGAGATCAGTCCCTCAGATTTGATGATTTTCAGGTGATGGGCAGAGGAGATGGTTCCCACACATTCTGCAAGTCTGCCAGAAAATCAACCTGCATAGTAACATCTTGTGCAGGTGTTGAAGACCTGTCCATCCTGTTTAATGTATCATCTGTGACTGGCAGTGCTAATGGTTCCTGCACATTCAGCAATTGCTCAAGTAGATCCACATTCATACCATCCACTGGGGGAGCAGTTGGTTCCCATTCATTCAGGAACTGATTCATCAAGTTGTCATGTGGATCTATTACTAGAAAATTAGTTTGTTTATTAGCTTGAAGGGCAATTGTGCCAACTCACCAGCCATGATTCCACCCTCTGCCAGAGCAGTTGGCTCCCTTTCCTGCAGGAACTGATCCAGCAAGCTTTTGCATGAATCTATAGTGAAAGAACATTTCTTGTTGAGCTTGGAGAGAAATCATGTTCACTCACTGGCTGCAATATCCATGTTTGACCCTGCCATATCTGCCCTTCCACTTGAGACAATTGGTGGAGGGGTTGGCTCTTGCAACTCATGCAATTGTACTAGCATCTCCTCCAGATTTTTGGACTGCTTCACACAGGAGCCAGATTGCCTTGGCTTGATTGGTCTTACATTAGCTGTGGATGGCTTAGGTCACTGGATCCAACAATGAAGACAACCCCACCTTGATGATGGAAATGAACTTGGCAGGACTGTTTGGTGGACATATTTGACAATGATGGGTTCACTGATAGCTTGCTGATCAATCAAGATTTAAACTTGTAGGAACAATGGCAAGAATATCATTCACACTGTGGGAAGCAAGGTTGGACAATGGTGGACAGAGCCAAATTTTGGGTAACAGCAATACATGGGAGATGAGCAGCAATATCTCCCTACATAGATAGCTACCAGTCACTTCCACATGGCCAATACATAGACCTGTCCTGATCAGCTCTCTGCTCAATTGTCCTACTCAACCATCCCACTTAACTATCCCTCTCTCTGATATCAAAGATGCCTCTCACAACTGCCATGGTGTCATGAGCTACTGTACATGCCATACACTTGTATTCTAATGTGTATCACTAGGCTAAGCCCTCTATAGACCATACATGAGTTCCAAAAAAGATTTCCACTCTGACTGTTTGAGGGATTCAACAACTACTTCTGCTTCTGATTGCATCCTGTTTGCTTGCATGATCTCTTTGCATCAGGAGATGGAACATCTTCATCTGGCCTTGCAGGGGCCTTTCTGACACAAGGTGACTTCCAGGTGTGCCCAGGGATGCCCTGTTTCACATTTGTGGATACTGCATTGGTGGTCACAGATCCATTATTGTTGGACTTGGACAACTATTTGGCCCCAAGTCAACATCAATTCATGTCTGGCTCACTCGATTCTGACAGAGCCTGCTTACCACACAGCACAAACTTGTTAGCCATAACAGCTGATTCAACATGACTGAACTTGCCTTGTGTGTGCACTTCAGGGTGGATTTCAGCTTTCCACCTTTTTTTCTGCTCATTGACCCCTCCTCAGTTGGGTGGTCAGTGAAAGGAATGCTCTCCAACCCATCTTCATTTGTGTATTCTGAGTGGTCCTGTAGTTCAGTTGTGTACTCACTCCCTGAGTGCAAATCAGGGTTTGCTGTGAATACAAGTTACAGTGGGAAGCTCACTATTCAGGGATGTTGCTGATTTCTTTGAATTGGATAGGGTGGGCAAATAAGTGTCTTCATCAGCTTCATCATCAGAATCATGGCTGTTGCTTTCCCTCCCATTATTGTCAGTGAGCACTTTATTTTGTGGATGATGCACTGGGGTCTTTGCATGGGCTGGAGGTGCAGAGAGCCACTCACTATGGGAACCATCAGCTGGTGGGGGATTTGAGTGGGAACAAGAAGGGAATGGTGTCTTGGCACAGTTTTGCCTCCCACCAGATACCTGAAGACCAGAATCACATTAGTGCTGATCTGTCATGCATGAAAATCACACATGGCACACCTTTCTAGCAGAGAGATTGTCTGTTCCAACATTGCTTGCCTCAGCCTTGCTGTGATCATCCAAACTGTCATCTGCACTGTCATCCACACTATCATCCACACTATCATCTGCACTATCATCCACCACTCCCTCTTCCTGTGCTTTACCCTTGCCCTTGACATTTTTCCTTCCAGGATTCTTTTTGCATTCGGGGGCAGGTGTCTTTTGGTATTTCCACTGCCTCACAACCTGGAGGGGTACCAAAGTTCTATCCACTGGTGGCTGCAGCTTTCCAGATCAATCAATCCATTTCTGAAATCCAAACACATCATTTGGATGGGATTCCTGTCACTTGCACTAAAAGGACAGCAGCTGGATAGATGTTGTCACCCACATGTGACTTGGGTCACAGTGGAAGGTAAATCCTTCAGGAAGATGGTGGGCTGCTATCATTTCTGCTTGATGATGACCAAAATTCTTGAATGGCACTGCTGACAAGGGATTTCTGCATGCTAATCCTGATAGCACTCATCAGAGATTGAGTACACTAAATACTCTGGCCACTCACAGTAGTGAGCAGTCACAAATTGTCAAGTCCAGGCCTACTCCAACCAACTGTAACACTGGATGAGGTCTGGGGAGAGGTTTGGAAGCAAGTCTGACAGAAGGAACTGAACTCTGACTGGTGAAGTGTTGGCAGGAATGAAGTCCACCAAGATAAGGGCAGAGTGAGGTGAGGGCATTGGGTTTAGCTCATGTGCTACCCCCTTGCATGATCTCAGCCCTTGTATCTCAGAGGGGAGTACAGATGGACAGTCAGAGGCAACTCCAACAGGCAGAAGATGGAGACAGAGGGAGTAGGAACTAAGTTGATATTCATACTGAAGAACAGCAGAGTATGGTACATGCTTTTATACTACTATGGAGGTACAGTAACTGGAATCAGAACTGACATATGGAGACTCATAAAATTTCAAGTAAAATTTCCTAGACAATGAATGAAGGGTAGACAGAGGACATACAAATGGGTAACACAGAATATCCCAAAGAGGAAACAGTCCAGGCACTGGACCATGCAGTGTGCATGCTGTGGAGTCCCTGACCACATGCTGTCAGGGAGAAGTCCAAAGGGTAGTCACACAACTCCTCAGAGAATGGCCTGCACAGTCTGGTAGGAGAGCAGTACAAGTCTGACAGCAGTTGGAGTGGAGATGACTTGCAAATGTCAGGGGCCAGGTGGAGTTGGTGTGGAGTGAGCAAATGACTGGTGGAAAGGGGTGCAGAGTGAGTGAGGACCTAGGATGAATGCATGGTCATGACAGTGCCCCCCCCCTTAGGGCCTGAACCCCTGAAGGCCACATGTACAAGACAAGATCAACATGAGTTGATCATTTGAAACCATTTTGATGCCTCAAGGATAATGACTTTAGCCACAGTGGAGCTCCATCAGAGTCTGAAGAACTGCTCAAAAACACATGTTAGGGTACTGAACCTCTGTCCTTTCTCCCCATCATCATGTCCTCCCAGCACCAGAGCAAAACCCCCAAGCCAACCCCCAGTCATGTCTGTAACTACTCCCAAGTTGTGGATGATGAACTGGTCATCCTTACTGATGACTCCACTGACACTGAGCAGGAGAAGTCTGCAGAGAAGGCACACTGACAAGAGGAGACTGAGTGGAGAGAGACAGAGCATGAGACAGAGGCAGAGGGCCCAGGCCAGGTGGGACAAGGCTGCACAGAGGTGAGTAGCAGAGTACTGTGAGTCAGGTGGAGCTGACCTATATATTATTATTATTATTATTATTTTGATTTTATTTTGTTTCAGGTTAAGCAGTGCAGTGTACAATGTTAATGTTAAGATGTCCCAATACTCAGCACTCTATGTGCACAGAGTCAGTAACTAAATTGTTGTCTATGTAGTTTTACACACCTATGTGCACAGAGTCAGTAACTAAAGAACAAGATACTTTGTGCACAGTAAAAATGTGAACACTGAACAAACAAAGAACAACTGAAGAAAATAAGTGCACACATCATTAATATGGAAGGCAGGGAACCTGGGAATTAGTCTGAGGTGCACAGGCACTAATAGCAACAGTCAACACCACCCAGAGGGTCCATGGGACCTCTGTGGTGGTTACCACAACCAGGAGAGCCCCCTGCACTTGCTGTGTAGTGAGTTGGACAGTAGGGCAGTGTGAGCTGGGACAAGGCAAGACCAGGGCCTGTGTGCCCTGCCAAAACAAGAAAATGGTGTGTAGTTGGATGAAGGAGGACATGGTGGCAGGGCCCTCATGGAAGAGAGCAGGGACAGGAAGTTCCCAAGGGGAGAAGAAGAAGAGGTCACAAGGGAAGGGGAAGGAGAGAGTGACAGAAATGGAGGAAGTGGATGATGAGCAGGAGGTGGGCAGAGAGGAAGATGAACCAGTGACCCCACTCAAGGGTGTGGTGGGTGGAGTGGGAGTGGGAGTGGAAGTTGCAGGCCATGGAGAAGCAGGCCAAAGTGCATGAGGCCACTGCACTGGCCTTTGAAAGGATGGCAGACACAGCAGAGCAGATGGCAGCAGCTGCAGAGTGGACAGCTGATGAGTGGGCACTGTACCACACCTGGGCAGAGTGGGCAGAGATGAGGAGGAGGGAGGATGCATGAGAGGCAGGATGGCTGAGCTCAAGTGCACAGGTGGCAGTTGGAAGAGGCCTCTGTCAGAGGTGGTGGAGGAGCAGCATGAGGACATGGACAAAGATACAGAGGGGGATAGTGAGGAAGAGGAAAAAGTCAGAGGAGAGCCAGAAGGTGGAGAAGGACAGGAGGGTGGTGGAGAGCAAGCAATGGAAGAGCAGAGTAGATTTCTTTTTTTTTTTGCTTTGTCTTTTGTCTTTTGTTTGTATATTTTGTACTACCATGAAATAGACTTGTGACATTGCTAAGGTAGTTTGATAAGGGGCAGAGTTGGCCCACAGAGGAAGGTTATGTGGGCAGAGTACTATGGCAGAGGTTGATACAGGCCAGGTTTGTGTGGATAGCATTCATGGAAAGCAGAGACTATGTTGGAAGTGTGGTCCAGCTCAGTGGCAAGCAACCAAGAGGTTTCTTTGTTGGTGTTCTCATAACCAGCCTAGCAGACTAGGTACAAGAGTTGACAGTGGTGGCAGCGGTGGTCCACCTTAGAGTTGAGTATCTCTGACACCTCATACTCAAGGTTGCCATTGACATCTACTGGCAGAGGTGGAGGTTGTTGTCAACTTGGGAAAGGGTTAGCTGCTGTGGCTTCCAGTTGTGAGACATGGAAAACCAGTGTGGGACACTACCTCCAGGTAGCATGCAATTAGGGGGAAAGCTGTAGGGCAATCCCTAGGCTTGACCCAAGGGGTGCTGAGTAGGAAGGAGATGTGGAATATGGTGGTAGGGTTGATTGAGGAGTTGAATATGGGGCATGGAATTTAATTCCACAGAGATGTAGGTGAATTGGGAATGAGTAGACTTGTATACAAAATTCTGAGTTACAACTTTGGCAAGAAGTAATTCCAAGACTTGTGAGACACAGAGGTGAGACACAGCAGCACAGAAGACACAGTAGATGCAGAGTACATGGCAGACACTTTGCACACTTAGGCATGCAAATGACTTGGGTAGTGACTCCAAAAGATGGGTGGGTATATTTCTAACATCATGGTGGAATTATATAGTACAAGGGAAGTAGGTATGAGTTGGAGTAAGGTAGGGTGGAAAAACTAAAAGACCAGAAAATAAAGGAAAGGACATCAGACATCAGTGAAGTACAGATGCACATGAAATAGTCCAGTGGGTAGTAGACAAGTGTAAGAATGGAACAATGGTAAGGGGTATCTTCCAACAGCACAAGAGTATGCATACAAGTGGGAGGTGGAGCTGAGTAGCACAGGAGGGCAGAGTGTAGCATACTGGCACAAAGTCCAGCTTGCAGAATTTAGGGTGACAGGGGAAACTGGAGGTTATTAGGGGTAAGTGGCATGGATGACTGGTGATGTGGCTGAGTGGTGGCACAGCTGCCAAATTCCAGGTGACTCTGCATGAATACGGAATTTCTGGATCAGCCTTTTGATGACTGAGCAACATGCTGAAAGGTAGTAGAAACTCTGAAGGTGACAGGGGTCAGGAGGAAACATGAGAAAATTCTGAAATGGGTTTGTCATAGAGGCCTGCAGAATTTAGTGACAGATTCCTGTTCCAGCCTCAGGGAGTATATGGCTCCCTACACCTCCTGGGAACTTCAAATGCTGACCATCCTCAGTCAGACTGAACTGAGACACCACAGAGACGAGTGCAGAATGTTGACAGATGTTATGTAACAATGATGGTGCATGGTCAGAATTCTGCCTTGTGCAGAGGGAAATTCTGGATTGTATGAGATGGCCCTGTGGAATTTAAATGTGCTCAGAAGGTGTCTCACTGCTCGTCAAACATCCATGCCCCAGCTACACCTGCATCCACTACCCAATCCATACCCAACCTTTGCCATGCAAGCCTACTTGATCCATGATGCATGACCAGTTTGCAGCATGAGGGACCAGGCCATCACCTCACTGTCAGCAGCATTAAGGCACATTAGGGTGCTGGGTGAGTGTGCTAGAGACCTGTGCAACACAATGCACTGACTGATCCCCAGGCTGGGATCTACTCATGGTGGAGGTATGTTGATGAGAACAAGATTTCTATCCCAAAGGTGCATGACACCAACCTATGCAACATGACCAAGGAATCTGTGATACAGCAGAACAAGGCAATCCCTGTGGCAATAGCAATAGTAGATCTCTGGTGGCCAGAAGGGCAGCATAGGTTCAACATCAATGACCTTTTTGAGGACTACTGGGAGTGGGTAGAGGAGAGAGCATGGATGGAGGCCAAGAGGTTGGCCAAGGAACCATCCATGTGCACCTGGGGACAAGCAGCAAGAGGTGAGGGCCAAGACTGTGCACCAGAAGATGCCAAAGGAAACCCATCAAGAGGAGCTGCACACTTGACAGGGGAGGGCTCTGGTAGTGTGAGCAAGGGAAAAGGGGAGCAGAAGGTGCACTCTATGGCCTTGACAACTCTGAGCATGCACACTGACTTCACCAAAAACTCCACAGGCCACCAGCAAGGAGGATGAGCTGGCTGACAACATCGACAATGATGAGGGCAATGGTGAACCAGGTCCATCCACAAAGGGACCCTGCACAGCTGGGGACAATGAACCCTGCAAGACATGTGCCCAGGCAAACCTCATGTGTGTTGGGGAGCCAGAGGTGTCCTGCAAACAGTGCAGGAAGGCGAAATGCAAGTGCTTGCACTCTCAAGGCATAGGGAGAAAGGTGAGTACTGCACAGGTGAAATTCTGCAAGGGAACAAGTTGACACCACCTTCAGCAAAAGAACTCTGGTACCGTTGGGGAGGCAGGGCTGTCCCACAAACAAGTCAAATCATTTATGACCTTGAAGCTGGCCCCAGCAGAATCTGTGACTGAACCTGTCAAGAAGCTTACTCTGAAAATTTTGGCTCAAAAACAGCAGCCTGATCTGACCCCCACATGCTCACCTTTGCCAGATCCAGCCCCTTCACTTCACAATCCTTCACCAACACCCCATCTCTTTTTCTGCAGAGCCTCTCCAACACCCAGACCTTCACCCAAGCCCTCACCTGTGCCTGTCAATGATCCTCATGCATCACTTCCAATGAACAAACTGCAAGTCAAGATTGAACCATTTTTTGTGACTGCAACCAGTTCACTGGATGACCCTGGAGATGTCAAAGTGACAGCCCAGAGCGACACTCCATCAGCTGTGGAAATTCCAGAGGTCAAATACCCATGTGAGTGGTCAACAGCAAACATTGTTGAGCATCTGTGAGTGCTTGAGGTGAGGGCTGAGGACAAGGAATTCGAGCTGGAGCAGGTCTACCGGTGTGAGTGAAAGTGAGGTTCAGTGGTGAAAACCAACCAAAACCAACACAAAAGACAATGAAAGCGAGTGGTGGTGTGCCTATGCAGTACCTAGATGGTAGAACCTGTTCTTTGGGAGGGTTTTTGCAAGCTACAACACTCAAAGATGAGTGCTGAGGGTTGGGGGTGCTCCTGACGAAGAGGGAGCAAGAATGTGATAGAAAGTGATAGGGTAGACTGCTGTCAGCCTACAGAAGGATGGATGGTGACTTAATTCAATGTCCTAAGCTGTACTGAGCTCAGGGAGGGCTTGGAGTGAAGTATATGGATGATAGATGATGATAAGTGAAGTAGATGATAGCTAGACCCTTAATAAAGTCTCAACTATCAAAGCTGATGAATGATTTACTGAGAGATGATAAATTGCAAGCAAGAGGGGCTCTCTGATGTCTTCTTTTTTTTTTGCTACCTAAGTACAGTGACTTATATACAGTACAGGGGCATTGCCTATGGAAAACAAGGTGCAAACACTTGGTAAGTGATTGGTAACTGATGAGTAAGGAATGTAAGTGATGGGTAATCATCTTGGAAAGCATTGGTAAGCATTGGTAAGGATAAGTAAGCCAAAAAGCAAAGAATCAGTAAGCAAAGTCAAAAGATTGGTAAGTATTGGCAATAGGTGAGTCAAAGACAGTCAGAATGTCACAGTATGAGTCAAGCAATGTCAGGAACTGGGAAAGTGCACTGGAATCACATTAGGGGGAGGCCATGCATGTCACATCTCGAAGAGATCACTTCTAGGCCAAAGTGGGATGACAGAGAGGCAGTGCTGATCTGATGCTGATATAGTACATCCAAAAGCAGACAGGGTGAGTCAGATGTCAACAGGGGTCAAGCTTTGGGGGTCTGTGGGGTGACAGGAGCATAGGGGATCGCAACTTTCCCCCCCAAACCATCCTCTCAGTGAAGCAAATAAAAACTTCATGAATGAGGCTCTGTTGGAAGAGAGGATGAAGGGGGAGCATCTTCTGCTGTATCTTGCAACAAGGAGGCAAGATGTGCATCATACTCGTCATGGATGTGATCAGGGAGAGTGGAGAACAGTAGATTATACTGTAGCTGTTGCAATTTTGGAAGAATGACGGACGAGACTGGTATGAAGATGTTGCAGGGGGCAGGGAGGAAGGATCCATATGCTTCTTGGACTGGAGAGACTGAAATGACCACATAAGACCTTTCCAAGCGAATGACAGACCTGAGGCAACCAAAGAACATCCTCCTGGAGGTCATACTGACAAAAAGAACATGCTGTCCAAGCTGGATGGGCTGAGAGGGGGCAGATGAGGGTGGGATGTACTAGGACGCTTCAGGACGGAAGCTGGTAGGAACTCCTGGTAGACATATGTAGCCATGGTCCCTAGCAAAGGGGACAAGTGAAATGACTGATGTGGAGGCAGCCATATCAGAAGAATTAGTGAAATGAGCGTCTTTTGGAGGGAGTGCTGTAGAAACATGTGGAGTGCGCAAATCCTTTCCAATCTTGGAAGGTAGGATTGCGTGGCTGAGCACTACAAGCGAGTGTGGGAATGGTTTCAGTGTCTGCAGAACTGGTGGAGATACATCAAAAACCGGAATGCCATACATGGGCACTCAAGAATTTTATTGGCACTTAACCTGCCTCCTCCTTTTTCTTTGGCATTGACAACTTGTTCTTGTGCAAGGGATGACTGCCAACATTGCTGGCTGTCCTTCTTCACATGAGGGCTATGGTCTTCACCTCCATTCATCAGCTACATCCATGTCCACCTCACCAAACACCTTTGGTGTGTGACACCAGCTGCTGGAGATGTTGGCAAGGCAGGTAACACATCAGATTGAGACTGTGTGGGCAAGATGGGAGGAGCTGTGAAGGTTGAAGGATGATCTCCAAGACCTGTAAATAATGTACTAGAGTCTGCAGAATTTTTTTTTTTTTTTTAGTACTCATATACTCTGAACTTGTAAGAGGTTTTCATGTGTCAGTATTAGCACTACAGTAAGGGAAGGAAAAGTAAGACTTCTGAAGGAAGAAGTGTTGCAGATTTTTTTTCTCTTGACTCTTTCATGTGAGCAGTGCAGAATGTATACAAGAGATGAAATGGGTATCAATAAAAGAAAGAACAGGGAAAGAAAAGAAAGGAGGTAGAGAGAAGGACAGGCTACTCATCTGACTTGTCCAGAGGGATGCCAGCAAGCATAGGGTCTGGGAACACATCATCTTCAAGATGATCCAGGTCTTGTGAGGAAGCACCAGTCAGCTGGGTGACTTCAATACAAGTGTTATTCTGTGGGAAATAGGAGTATAGGCAAAACACAGTGAAGCAGAATTTTGAGATAGCACCATCTAATTCCACAAGTATGTATGAGCCACCTTTAGTGCATCTGATGACAATCATAGGCCCTAGGTAGTGTGGTTTGGTTTTCTGGTCAAGTTCCAGTTTGATATGGGAATTCCACACAAGGACAAGCAACCCTGGCTCAAAGTTAAAGTCTTTAATAGAATGTGCAAAACAGTTGATGAAATCCTTGGCTGAGGCAAAGCAGGATTTTAGGACCAGATTGTGGATGTGAGCAAGGTCCTCTGGGTGTTTCTGGAGTTGGCAAGCACAGTGAGCAATGAGGTCTGTGGTCAAGTAAAATTCCACCTCAAAAGGGGCTAAAAAGATTGCTTTGACCAGATTGAAAGGGAGTCTGGGTTCAACACTGTGAGCCATATAGAATGGAGAAAACCCAGTTGCCTTGTGGACTGTAACCCTCTCTGCCCAAAATACTGCAGGGGCTACTTCTGACCACCTTGATGCTTCCCCACTACAACTTTTTACCATTGCCTCTCTTACATCAAAATGCCACCATTCAACAACTCCATTAGCCTGCAAGTTATAAGGAGAAATGTGTATGTGATGAATTCCAAAGGTCCTGGAGAGCCAGTTGAGAGTGAGAATGTACAGTCCCCTGTTATCTGTGACAATCTCTGCCACAGCACCCCAATGGCACAGAATCTGTTTGAAGATGAACTTTCCAATGGACTTGCCTGTCTCTGCACAAAGCATAGCCCATTCAGGGTAACTGGTGAGCAAACAGTGGGCTTGGGTGATGTAGTGAAACCTGTTTGACTTTGGCATTAAGAATGTGTCCATGTATGCTTTGTAGAATAGGGGCTCTGGAATGGCAACAACTGGTGGAATATGTATGTGATCTGAATGGTGGATTTGGCATTTGTGACATGACTTGACATACCAGCAGACATCCTGCTCTAGCATAGGCCACCAGAAACAAGTCAGCAAACACATGCAGGTCAAGTAGATACCCTTGTGTCCTAGCTCATCATGAGCCTGATGAAGGATCCCAAGGTGTTTGTGTGGGGTGACTACTAGTTGGTGATGTCCTTGAGGCTCTTTTCTCCACAGCTCTCCTCCTTTAATGAAATACCACATGGCAAGACATACTAAGCTCTCCAATTACCCTCCCTCCAACCCTTCTGGTGTCTTCCTTGTCTCCAAAAACTCCTCCACCACTTTTAACCTCTCCTCTTTCTGGATTGCTTTCTCTGACCTCAGAATTTTGGTCTCAAGGATTCCAGGCATCAATTCTTTGGCAGTAAAGATACCTAGGCTCTGTGACAGGGCAAGAGATGAGTCTGGCATGACACTCAGGATTCCCAAGCGGTAAGGTTGAGACTCAAAACATGCTTCCCTATGATTCAAGAGCTTGACTGTGAAAGCCCCACACTCATCTATCCAATCCTCATAGTCTTTGTCTCCCTCCTCATCCTCTTCTGCTTTGGGTCTCCTTGAAAGACCATCCAGTACTGCATGCTTGTGTGCAGGGACATGTACAAGCTCAAAATCAAATAAAAGAATTCCCACAATCCAGCAGTTGATGGTAGCATTGGGCTGTAAGTCAGGATTGTTAATCATCCCCTTTATATATCACACATCAACCTCAACAACTAAATTCCACATGCCAAAAATGTGAAGTCTGATGTCATGTAAAGTGCAGAAAAGACCAAAGAGCTCCAGTTTAGCTTGACTGTAATGGCATGCATGGTTGTTGAGAGTTATTGAGCTGAACCTTGCAGGGTAGCATTTTTCATCTTCCCCCTCCTGCATGAGGAGGTATCCTACAGTGATATTCAAAGTGTCGACTGCTAGAATGACCTTCCTTTTGGAATTGTAGTCGATAGAACATAGTGCAGGAGACAAGATGATAGCCTGGCATAGATATTCCATGGCTTCTCTGTGTTCATTGCAGAATTTGAAGGGGACATCTTTCTTGGTCAGCTTGACAAGAAGATGTGCATGTTTAGCAAAGTTTTGATAAAGATCCTGCAATACGAGCAAAGACCTAAAAATCTGCACACTTCAGTAACGTTTGTGCAGTAGGGCCAGTCTTTAATCTTTTGGACTTTAGCTTCATCCGGAATTCTCCCCTCAAACAACACCTTATGCCCAACCACTATGATAGACAGTGCAGTGATGATGCATTTCTTCACTGAGACAGTAGCTCCTGCATGACATAGATGGTGTAAGATGCAGTTGACATTCTGTAGGTGCTCCCAGATGAAGCATCTGATCCTGGAATTTTGTGGGATCGTCTGGTAGGAACTGTCAGGATTTTGGACCTTTGATTGGGCAATTGTCAATGAAAGGGATGGTTACTTTGGGGATTTCATCCTTCAATATCCAACAGACATCTCCATGGAAAATCTGGATGGCATTCATGTAGCCCATAGGTAACTTAGTGAGTCATAGAGTACCAATAGGAGTTTGGAAGGTAGTGAGGTCACAGTAATCATCGTGTATAGTGTGATGATCATATCTGACCATAAGATCCAAAATTCCATAGACAGAATGGCAAGCAAAGGCTTCAGCAATTGAATCAACAAAGGGGGGAATGGCTGAGTCCTGGATAGAAATGGCATTTAGAGGT